AAAAGTCTTATCCAGAACTTGTCAAATAATGTTAAGGACAGAAAATTTTATAAAATCTATATTTATAATAATGTTCAAGAGTTAAGAATCTATGTGCTCCCCCCTTCAAATAATCTTTGAGTCTAAATCTCTTATCACACAGCTGAGGAAACTACAGGTCAGAAACATTGGTCAACAGTCTTAAACTGTGACCACAATTCACATATTGAATTCTTAAATGACCACATCTTGTTGCTTTACAGGAATTACTAAATGTAGATTATTTTTCACTCTAAAGCGTATTCTGAGCTCTGAAATATACTATTTCTGATATCCCCAGACTTCTTTAGTGTTAGTGTAGTATGTATTTTCTCATTCTTTTTATTATTGTGATCTTTATACTGAGAGTAGGTTCCTTGTCTCTCTGCCTTTTATTTGGGGTACTACAACTGTTGTTGTTATCTTCCATCAAATGAACTCATAAAGACCCTATGAACAATGTCCCTGAACTTCATTTTCTCCTGAGCCTACCTCATTGTCTCTGATACACATAACCCCAATGCCACAGACACTGTGTTAATCCATCTCATGAGGAGTCTTCCTCTTCTACACTGACACTCTACCCTTCCAAGCATGATGCCTTTTCCAAGGGCTGGGCCCTCCTGGCCTTGTGCCCTAGGTATGTGAGACAGAGTTTCAAAATCCTTGCCTCCAGGCCAACTGGTTTCACCCTCTCCAGGACAGACCTGTTTATTGTCGTAACAGTCCATGGTATGTTCAATATTCTTCTCTAGCAAGACAAATTCAAAGGCATCAATTTTTCTTCTGTCATGCTTATCGAGACTGTTGTTGTTGTTATGTGCCATCGAGTCGCTTGCGACTCATAGCGACCCTACATACAACAGCCCTAAACTCTGCCCTGTCCTGTGCCAATCACACTGTCTCCGACACTCCCATCCCAATTATCCCAGTCACTGAATCAATCCACCTCATAGAGGGCCTTCCCCTCCTGCGCCATCCCTCCACCCTCCCAAGCATGATGTCCTTCTCTAAGGACCGGTCTCTCCTCACAACATGTCCAAAGTATGTCAGACAGAGCCTCAGAATCCTTGCCTCCAAGGAGCCACACGGTTTAACCCTTTCCAGGACGAAACTGTTTGTTTTCCTAGCAGTCCATGATATTCTCAATACTCTTCTCCAGCACCACAGCTCAAAGGCATCAATTCTCCTTCTATCCTCTTTCGTCATTGTCCGACTCTCTGATACATAACAAGTGATTGCGAAGACCATGTCCTGGATCAAACGCACCTTAGTGTCCAGAGAGACACCATTGCTCCTCAGTACTTTGGAGAGGTCCCTAACAGCAGACTTTCCCATGGCAATGCGCCTTTTAATTTCCTGGCTACTGGTGCCAAGAGTGTTGACTGTGGAGTCAAGCAAACCAAAGCTGTGTACAATCTCAATCTCTTCACCATCCATCCTGATGCGGCCAATTGGTCCAGTAGGGAGAATCTTGGTCTCCTTGACATTGAGCCTCAATCCATATTGTAGGCTACAGTCCTTGACCCTCTGCAGCAGGTACTTAAGGTCCTCTTCAGTTTCAGCAAGCAGGGTTGTGTCATCTGCATAATGCATATTGTTGATAAATCGTCCACCAATCTTGACCCCACATTTCTCCTCATAGAGCCCAGCCTCCTGGATAATCTGTTCTGCATATAGGTTGAAAAGGTATGGAGATAGGATGCATTCCTGGCGTACGCCATTCCCAATTTTGAAGCATGCAGTGTTCCCTTGCTCTGTTCTGACGACTGCCTCCTGGTCCAAGTATAGGTTTCGCATTCGCATGATCAAGTGTTCTGGGATTCCCATTCTTTTCAGTGTCAGCCACAGTTTGTTATGATCCACACAGTCAAATTCCTTTGCATAGTCAATGAAACACAGATAGACATTCTTCTGGTATTCTCTGCTTTCAGCTAAGATCCATCTAACATCAGCTACAATATCCCTAGTACCACAACCCCTTCTAAACCCAGCCTGGATTTCTGGTAGCTCTCTGCTGATGTGTTGTTCCAGTCATTTTTGGATAATCTTCAGTAAAATCTTGCTTGCATGTGAAATAATCAATAGGTTTGAGTTTAAATCTATAATCTATTACTTTCTAGGAAATCCATCATTGTTTAATTTTTTTTCTCCTTTCCTGCCTTTAAACTTTCATTTTCTCGTTACTGGCTTCTATTTTATTTGTTTTATATTCATACATTTTTGAACATTTTCCTGCTTTTCCCCTCTCATCGTCCTCCCCCAGTCCACCTTGCAATGCACCTCTTGTTCTAGATTGTTCTCATACATATAATGCCTAGTCATTAAGTGAGTACTTTAGAGCTTATAATAAACTTCTCTGTAATTTATCACAGACTTAAAAATGGCACTTATATTACTTCACCCATTATAATACACCACCCTTACAACTTTATACTGGCATATATCATAAACCTCTGTATAACAGTTGTCCTACTTGGATATGTGCTATAAAAGAAACACTATGTTGTTATTAAATAGGAATTTAAACAATAAATTACTTTGTAAAGAAACTTAAAGACCCACTTGTAGACCCATGCTGTAGAGTTGATACTGCTCACAGTGATCCTCCATCAGGTTTGAAGGCTATAAATCTTTATGAAAGGATTCTGATCACAGTTCTTTCGAATTCTGGTACTTATACCCCCCATGAAAATACAGGTTTTAATTAGTATCATTACATCTTTAAAAAAACCAACTTTTTATTGAATATGATCTTTATATACATTGTGTTTCATTCATGTTACATTGTGCTTCACACTTCATTGACACTGTGTTTTATATGATCATTTATATACAGTTTGTTTTATAAAATTAATCACCATTGATCTGTGCCTACCATTACACAATCTTTTCAGGTCCGAATTGGGTCTTCCCTTTCTTTCACCCTCCCTCCACCTAACCCATGTGTCCACTGATCACTGATTTAAGCTATCCTAGTGATTTACCATCTCATCATTTTCTTCCCCCTTGGCCTCTATCTCTTCCGCTTTTCAACTTTCAAATACAGCTTACATTCTTCTATTTTTACAACAATGATTTTAAACAGTATTTGTCCTTATGAGACTGAGTTCACTCTGCAAGATGTTCACTAGACTCTCCCAGGTTACATAGTATTTTAGGAAATTGTTGTTCCTTAGTGCTGAATAATACTCTACTGTGTGAATGTATCATACTTTTTCAAACCATTCATTTGCCTTTTATCATTTGGGTTCTTTACATTTCTTGCTATTGTAAATAGTGTGCAAATCTCCATTTGTCTCTCAGTTGTATTTTCCTTGAGATATATTCCTAGCAGTGGAATAGCTGGATCATAATGGGGTCTCTATGGTCAGTTTTTTGAGGAAACATCAAATTGCCTTCCAGAGTTGCTGCACCATTCTACAGTCCCACCAGCAGTGTAGAGAGTTCCAAAGTCTTCACATCCTCTTCAGTATTTATTGCTCTCTACCCTATTAAATTTTGCTACTGCCATTGGAGTATGATCGTATCTCATTGACATTACCAATGAAGAAAACTGTAGATCAATATCTCTCAAGATATAGATGCAAATATCCTTAACAATATCCTGGCCAATAGAATCCAACATTATATTGAAAAAATAATTCATTAAGACCAAATGGGATTCAGAACAGGTATGCAAGGATGGTTTAAGATAAAAAAAATCAACATAATCACATAAACAAAGCAAAGAATAAGGACCACATGATCCTATAATCCTATAAATTGTTGCAGAAAAGGCCTTTGATAAAATCTAACACCCCTTCCTGATCAAAGCACTCAACAAAATAGGAATAGAGTGGAATTTCCTCACCATAGTATATGTGCAAAACCAAGAGCCAACATCATTCTCAATGGAGAAATACCCTAGGCATTCACTTTGTGACCTGGGACCAGATGAGGCTATCCATTATCACCACTCCTATTCAATATTGTATTGTAAATACTTGCTAGGGTAATATGACAAGAGAAGGAATGAGAGGGATCCAAAGTGGCAAAGAAATGGTAAAACTGTTGCCATATGTGGATGATAAGATAGTGTACACAGAAAATCCCTAAGACTCAACAACAACAACACGAAAAGGTTAGACCTAGTAGGCCAATTTAGTAGAGTGGTAAGATCAATATACAAAAAAATCAGTGAGATTTCTCTACAACAGCAAAGGAAACACAGAAAAGAAAAGGAAGAAAGTAATACCATCTACAATAGCCAACCACAAGGTGAAATACTTTAGAGACACTTGTTGATGTTGTTGTTGTTGTTATGTGCCATTGAGTCACCTGCGACTCATAGTTACCCTATGTACAATAGTCCTAAACTCTGCTCTATCTTGTGCCAATCTCAGGATCTCTGACACACCCACCCCCCATTACCTCAATCACTGAATCAATCCATCTCACCGAGGGTCTTTGGAAAATTGCAAAACACTACTACAAGAAACAATATAAAACCTAAGTATTCTTCGGACGCGGATAGAAAGGCTCAACATAGTGAAAATAACAATCATACCAAAAACAATCTACATCTGTAACATAATCCCAATAGATACCAATCTCATTTTTCAAAGAGATAGAAAAGGCAATTGGCAAGTTTATTTGGAAAAGGAAAAAAACCCTGAATAAGCAAAGCCCTTCTAAAAAAGGAAAATAAAGTGAGAGATTCCTGATCTCAAAACACAGCATGAAATTGGTACACTATTCTTTTTCCTTCAGGGTCTTATATCCTATTTATATCAACAAATACAACATATATTTGGTTTTTGGTCTCAAGCATATTTTTAATTTTCTCAAGTTTGTTTTGGATCTTTGAAATATATGTATTCTATGTGTCTACTTAATCTTTCCTCAATCATTCCTTTTTTGCTCTTTCATTTTTTTTTTTTCCTATAAGATCTTTATTGGCAACAGCATTGAGGATTCAACTTCCTCTTAAAAGAGCTGCTTCAGGGTTTAAGAGCTTCTGGGACCATAACTTTAACCAAGCCTTCCATAACAGTTTTTTTACTTTCTATAACAGAACAAGATACTTGAATAAAAGCAATGAATCGCTTTAGCTTTTTCACTTCTGCAGTTGCTGTAACAACTTCTCCAACATATAAAGGAGCTGGGAAGTTAATTTCCTGAGAAAGGAATGCACAGCCTGGGCCTGGCATTTTAGTACCCAGGAGGGTGGAAATAAGTCCATTGATCAAAACTCCATGCACAATTGGCCTCCCAAACTTGGTTTGCTTTGCGAAGTCTTCATTTAAATGCAAAGGGTTGATATCACCTGTCAATTGTGCGAAGACAGCAACGTCCCTCTGTGTGAAGGCTCTGCTGAGTTCAGCCCGGTCCCCAACTTTGACACACAGATGCTGAAGGTGCTGCCTTCCCAACACTGGCTGGTTCAGGTGGAGTCTCCTCTGAAGGCCGCCCCACCAGAGGCGATGGCTAGAAATCCCTGAGTACATCTTGAGCCCCCAGAATTCTGCAAGTTTGCTTCCGTCTTCAAATAGGATGTGGGCACTAACAATTACATGGCAGTGGATGAATACTTCTCAAACAGCACACTCTTCAGTCCAATACAAGCTCCCTACTGTTATCAGATAAAGCAAGAAGAAACGGAGAAACCTGAATCACTCTAAAAGCACATTTTTTTGCCTTGATAGGTTCCTAACAGGGTCAAAGAACTCCACAATTTGACAAGACCACTGCTAGATATTCTCAAGATGGCTGAGAAGGTCTTCTCTTCATAGCTCAGGACGTCCAAGGGTAAGGCAGCACCAGCCTCTTCAAACAGGTCCTTTAAAGCTGTAATAAGCAAATGTTTGAACTGTGCAGCGTTCAGTCTAATTCCATGTTCTTGAAATTCTAGGCAGACCTTCAGGTAGTGGTATTCGGAGGGATTTTTGTACACTACCCTTTCATATGCGGCAGCGGAACCTGGTCTCTTTTCCATTGCGGGTCACACCAAATGTTCGCAAGGTGCTCAGCACTTGTGGTCCCGCTCAACCCTCCGATAGGGTCAAGTGTATAATTACGTTGTAGCGAAGTCCTACGCCCGGTCGGGTCGGTAGCTCAAGCCGCCCTGCGTTGCTCACCCACCGGTCAGGTCCGCCTAGGTCGACAGCCGCCTAGTGCATCCGAAACCGGCGCACATGTCCGACTGGGCCCGCTCCCGCGGAGCGGCCGCTCCGCCTTGGCCTCCTGCCTCTCGCCCCCGGTTGGCCTGGGAGGGCGCCTCCTTTGGCTCCGCTCATTCGCTGCACGGAGCAGCGAGGAGTCGGAGCTCTCGCGCAGTTGCGGCTGCAGCCCCTGCTCTTTCATTTTTTTAAATATTTTTTTTAAGTTTTATACTGGTTCACTTAAAAACCATATACATGGTTTTTCACACTGAATCTTTCTCATTTTCTTTACCCAGCCCTCCCTCAATCCATCAAATTGTGCGACCCTATGATTAATCACCCCAACCCCAACT